TCCTGACCTTTGCTCTCTTACAATATCCCACATCTTTTGATTGTTCCTTAACCCCCGCCCTGTCAACAGAATGTCCTTGTGCTTGACCTTTCGTTAGTGTATGAGAACCGGTGCCTTTTTCTGATTTATGCCTTTGCAAATGCGATTCTAGCCAACATCCGTCCACTGACCAAACTCTCCCACTCTGCCACTCGCCTGCTCCTTTGGCCCTCCTTTGGAATGGCTCTGGCCATTAGAGCACAAGCAGTGCTAATAAAAATTAATGTGCCCAACGCTTGGTCGCCATTTCCATGGCAAAAACCCACACACACACATTGAACACAACGGTGGGAATGTCCGCAGGATCCCAGGCCACATGACTGTGTGGCATACCCCTGACGGGTTGCATTTCCTGCACCTGGATTCTCCCTCTCAGTCACTCAACTCGTTATGCAATTTTGTCGCTCGTGGTTGCATTGTTGTTTCGTACTCAGTACTCAGTAATTGTAGCGCCGAAGGGGCGGGGCTCATGTATGCCTGTAACAGGCAGAGGGAGGCAGATCCGAACCCATAACGAGTTCGGGATTTATAGATCTGTCAGTCTGTCAGATCACGTTGTAGCGATGACTGTAGCTGGAGAAACCCACTTTCTATGTAGGTTTCCATGATTTTAATTGTTTTGAAACGAAGCTAAGCCTCCTTACAAATATATGTACATATGTATGGATATGTAGGCTTCACAATTTGTATGGTATGGATTTTATAGCCAAGATCATCAAAGAAAAGTACAGGCTTTCCTCGGCTAAAGACATGAATGAAGAATCTATTTTTGATACATATTTCCATGTGAATTCATTCGAGCCTCATAATATCAGGGGGTATCCTCTATCCCATAGTACTAATATCCGATTATCCTCTGCTTGTTTGTGGTTATGTTTTGCTCTCTCTTTTCTTTCTCTCTGGCTACCTCTTTCTCTCTCTCTCTCTGTCTGGCTTCTCTCTCTCTGTTGCCAATTTATTCGCACTTATGCACGTGTCCATACCATGGGCCCCACAGGCAGACAGATGGGCAGACGGGCAGAAAGCCCCCAGAAACATAGACAAAAGGCCAGTGAAAAGAGGTGGGAGGGAGGCCTCCCTCAATCATACACATGATCCTCCTGGCACGTTGTTGTTGTTGTTGGTTGAATCAATTTCATGGCTCGGTCCCCTCCTCAGACCCACCCATGCAATGTTCCCCTTTCCCGTATTTTCTTTTCGGTAGCTTTCCTTTTTCGTTTTCTTTCTTGTGTCCTTTTGGCCGTCTCTCTATCTCTGTCTGTCTGCCACGTCTGATGCCTTTTGCAATTTGTTCGTTTTCTTGTGTCAACAGCAACAACAGTGTTGTGCTGTGCTGTGCTGACGAGTGCTGCTGATGGGTGATGCCAAGGTATATTTGATGGAAGGTAAGGCAGATGCCTTACAGAACATAATCTTAACCGAGGGAGAGTGGAAAGGACAAAACAAGGACAAGGCAAAACAGAGGAAGAGGGAGGATTAACCTTACCTTCCATTTAATATACCTTGGAATGGTGACACCTCTTCTCTGTCTCGGGCAGTGGTTCTGTCTTTGGTTCTCTGCTTCTGACCAAGCTCTTGACCAAGTTGGAACAATTAAAACGATTTTTCTTCTTGCCTTCCGTTCGGCAGTGCACTCTATCAATGTCCCCATGTCCCCATGTCCCCGCCATCCTCCATCCACCATCCTCCACTCGCCGTTTGCCGTTCGCCAAATGTCAGCTGCCAAGGACACAAAATGTTTACTTAAATTCGAGAGCCACGTTGCCACGCCGTGTGGTGTGCTGTGTGCTGTGTGTGTGGTTTGTGCGAGTGTCTCCTGTGCTTCTGCATGCCAAATGAGGGGCACTCCAATTGCTCCGTCGAGCACTCTGTCAAAGTTGTCCATTCCTTGATTGATTTACAATTGAATGCCGGTCATGTTATGGCCATAAATTGCCATTCAGTTAGACTCCTTGATTAAACAGCAGGAGGAGAAAGGAGTGAAAATTGTTGGGTGGGGCGGGGGGAAAGGTCGAAACTCCAAACCGAAGATGGAAACGGAACCCATTTTACTTGGAGCAAAGGTCAGGGGAGTAAAAACCAAACCAAAAGGTTATAAAGGAACTATGAATGGCAATCTAATTGTAAGAAAGGGGAAATTTGTGGGGCAAAACTGTAAGAAAATTAAAAGAACTTCTCGGAATTATACAAAGAGGAGCATATCTTTAGCATGACCGTAAATCTCTGTTTCAATTAGATTAGGTCTAAGCAAAGAATCTGCTTCATCCGATTGGTAAAACCCTTTAAATAATTTCCATATTATAATTAAAACAGAAACGAAATCCCTTTTGGCCCTACCTTGGAATTAATCCCCGCATTTAATCCCTAATCCACTTTGCCACTTCATCTGCTTCCTGCCACAAGTTTCGATTGGTTCCTGCGAACAAGTTGCAGTCCAACAAACAAGGGGATTATTCATTTGAACAGCATACTCGTACCCCCCCCCCCAACAGCCATCCAACCATCCATCAAGTATACGCACCGCGCCGTGTTTTCAGTCGCCACTTTTCTGGCTTCGTTTGATAAGCTTTTTTGGTTGGCTTTTTGTTAGTTTTCTAGCTTTTTGTTTGCTCTGTTGGCTGCTTGCCGATTTTGATGTTGCGTTTTTCCAACTTTTGGTTACTTTTTCCTACATCTTTTGTTGATTTTTTCCCCCCATAAGTTTTGGCTCCTTTTTATTCTGTTTTCAGTTTTCGGTTTGCTTTCTGCCTGCCTGGCTTTGAGTTTGATTATTCTCTGGTGCGCTTAGAGAAAGTTCTCTCGGTACCCCGCCGGCCATGTGTGCAATGCTTGCCCACATGTATTAATAATAGCACACACACACACACACACACACACACACACAAAACACACAGAGAAATACTTGTGCCCTCTACAAATGTGGTTCCTTAGGCTTCGCAAAAAAGGTACTATATACAATGGAAATACGATTTGTTGTTAAGTTTTTGGAAGCTTTTGGAAATTGAAAGCGCTGCCAGATTCCCCCAGAGGTGTGCGCCAGAAATCTCCAGCCATCTTGTTAAATAAGTTGCACATGCCACCACGCCCCACAGCCAAACACACACACCCCCCCACTGGCACGGCCCTGTCATGGCTTATTTAGCTTGTACAAGGAAATGCCCAAAAGCATTCGGCAGACGCCAACTTTGGAGGTCTTGGAGTCTACGGATATGCTGATGCTGTCGCTGCTGTTGCAACTGCCGCCCCATAACTATGGAAGAGTCTGGAGGCAAAGAGGGAGTTGTTAGAGGGAGTAGGGGGTAGTGGTGCCGCTGTAACTGCCATCACATTTTGTATGCTTCGTTAAGCATTCTGTACAGTGCACAGCAGCGGCAGCAGCAGCAACACCCACAGAGGTGGCAAAGTGGCAGCTCGGCTTAGAGGGAGGATTCAGTACAGTTCGGTTCATAGAAGATGTTTCCAAAGTTTGAAGCTCTGAAGGTGAATGATAAATTGAAATCCATTATGGAATACACAGATATAACATTCATTCTTACTCCCATTTACAGCTAAAAACTCTGTGAAATATGAATAATTTTAATGTTATAATGTAGTAATTCAAGAAATGTGGGGAATGCTTGTCAGAATCCCCCCTGTTGCTACGGTACTGCCACAACCCTATAGCTATTGCGCGGACTGTAACAATCCACCAAATCTGTAGGATGGAGGGTGTTGTGAGCACAGAAACAGGGGGTGTGGTGGGGTGCAACAAATTTATTTGTTTGTTGTTGCAGCTGTCGATTCGACCAAAAACTGCAAATGTTGTATATACATTTTGATATCAGAGAACTATCGAGCAGCGGACACCGAATGTTGTGCCACTGAACTGTCTGTCAGTCAGTCAGTCAGTCAGTCAGTCAGTCAGCCTCTGTGTTCGGCAAATAATTCTATCATTCAGTGTGCCAGTCTCTGCATCCGCCTCGCTCTTCAGAGCTCTCTCCTTCACCCAGTCGATTGTTTTTATTTTGCTTTGCTTTGCTGGAAAAATGAACATCTAATATCGAATTTGAAATTGATGATGCAGCCAGAATTTGATTTCATTTTCGGAATTTCCATTTTGCTCTTTGTCTCCTATTTAAGCGGGAGGTGAATGAAATGGAATCGAATACGTTGGGACGAGATGAGATGGGAAGCGATGCCAAGCGATGCGATGAGATTGCCAGAGAGAGATAAGAGATGTGAGGGGTGCAAAGGAGAGAGCGACAGACACGGCTACACTGGCGGATGCCGATAGTGTGCAGGGTGTGTGGGTGTGGGCTTACACAGGGAATTTAAAACATGTACACATGTATATGTATTTATTGTGCATGCAAATGTACAGAAAATATTCTAGAAAATATTCTAGAAAATATCGTGTATCGTAAAAACCTTTGAGAAATTCTATATATGTATTTTGGAAAGCTGTTTGGGGAAAAAAAAGTGTTCCATTGAATCCGAGCTAACGATAACTGAAGCTTTAAATGCAGAAAATGTTCAGGAAAAGCTGAGAAAATATTAGTTATAAATCAAGGAAAAGTCTTGGGAGAGAGATTTAAATTTAGTTGTTAATGATTTACCTTTGCCTTTACCAAGTGGCCTGAATGGTTCCCTCATGTGCTGTTGGATATGCATACGTGAGCCTCGCTTTTGTTTAGCTTTACTCAATGTCTCGTACCGCCACTGTTATGCCAATCAGCCAGCCATCCATCCATCCATCCATTTGTGGGTCTGAGATTTTCATTTTCGCCTAAACTGCACATCACAGCGAGACACAAAAGACAAAAGTCCGCTCGAAAAAGCGTGTGACAGCGTTTTTTTTTTTTTTTTTTATTTTGAATATTTTAAGGCCTAAAACATGAACCTAACAACGAGTATTATAATAATCCACCAAATATAAACTTATATAGCATTTCTAATCTTATATTCACCTTTATTTGTTGCAGGTTCCATCATGTTCCATGTGCGTCGGCGACCGGCAGACTCCCAGCCGCGAAGGCGCAAGAAAAAGCCGCTCGGTGCCGCCAATGGAGCCTCGCATATGTCCGGAGATCGGGAGGGACCCGTCCTGGTGGAGGTGACGCACAGCGGCGATGGCGGGCGGCGCATCAAGCTGGGCAGCGATCCCGTGGAGGTGGGCTCCGCGAACACCAATTGCCTGCAGCTCTTCGGACCCTCCATACAGCCGAGGCACTGCCTCATCTCGCTGCATGAGGGCGTCTGCACGGTCACACCGCTGCACACGGACGCTCTGACCTTCGTGAATGGCCACCACATCAGTCAGCCGACCATTTTGCATGTAAGTTGCGACCTTTTGCCCCCTGCCATACCTCCCATGCCATGTCCTACCCTACCGCACACCCACCCACCCACCTCCTCCATTATGTGTCTTCCATTAACTAATTGCGAATAATTCGCTTTAATTAGTTAAAATTCTGGCACGTTGCTGCTCGTGGCACGGGGAACGTAAGGGGACACCGTGGCGTATGCTTAATTTGACTGATGAAATTTATTGCCACTCAGCAGGCGACGCTCCCATACACCCCCCACCCACCAACATGACCTTGACCCGCTTAAAGTTTAAACTGCTTGAAATTTCGAAAAATCTGTATACACTCTGTCCTCTCTGCCTGGCCGTGGCATTTCCCTTAGAGTTTGTGGCGATTTTCGGGGACTCTTGGGGGCAGGGAAAGGGCGCAATAATCGCTGAGGCTTAAGAACTTTTGACTGTGGAATGAACTGGAAAAACTGGCACTTAGATGCGATGACAGAAGCGCTGCTACTTTTTTTGGGCTTAAATTCTACGCAAAGTGGGAATTGAATTATTTTTATAAAAAAATAGAAAAGGATTGCTTATAAAATGAGTGGCACAAGAATTAAATATCTTGAGACGATTACATCCCACTGAATTTACTTCCTTCGATTCTGCAATGTCTGTCAGTCACGCATTAAGAAATACGAGCAAAGCCGTAATACTCATAATCATAAAGGAGAAGAAATACATTGCGAACGGATGATCATTATTATATCCAGAATTAACAACCTGTCGTTTGGCTCTTTGAACACCTGGCTTTCGAATGGCTTTAATGCTAGATAAATTCTCTTTCAAGTGCGTACTTTTAGGATGCGCATTTCGCAGATCAAGTTTCGGTGCATAGAAATTGAGCATTGCGTATGCTAGTATCGAGACAAGTGTGCCGCGATTCCAACGCTTCCACAGGTTACATACCGGAACCCTAAGAACAACTTACAGTATAGAAATAAATAATAAAGGAAACCAAAACTGCTGTGAAACTAAAAGTAAACCCAAATTCAACGTCTGGAAAATTCAATCAGCTCTTACTTAATCCCTTGTAAAACATTCCCCAAACCAATTCAATTCTCAGCCCGCATTCGTTTCCATTTCAAGTTCATTATCAGCTTTAAGTTTTGACCAGAAAAGGCCATAAAATTCCCCACCTACTTCCTACTTTATATGAACATCCATTCACATCTACATCGAGTATATAGAAGCGTACGAGTATGCGGGCCATAGACATCCCCCACCGACGTCCCACCGAATAGGCTTTGAGTTGCCGCCGCTGATTTATCTTTTGTTTTGACAACTTTTTCGACAAATAAATAAACACACACACACAACCGAAACGAAACACAAACACAAAGAAAACAACCAATCGAATCGACAAGCAAAAACAACAAAAATTCGAGGGGAAAACTGAATGAAATGAATGGCTCTCGGCTTTCGATGTTCTCACGCATTAGCAAAAAAAAAGGGCAGAGAAAAGTCAAACGAGAAGCAACAAACATTTGCCAGCGTTATGTCAAGTTTTGTTGTTCCTTTTGTTTTTGTTGGTTTTATTACGAGTTGAGTTTCCGCTTGATAAATTTGAAACCAAATAAACAAAGAGAGAAAGAGCTCAGGGAGACTCCAGAATTCAGAATACGAGCAGCAGAGGATAAGCTTCAAGCTCTCGACATTACCCACAAACTGTCTCTAGAGACTTATCAAGGAGAAAGAGAGAGAGAGAGAGAGAGAGAGACAGAGAGAAAAACGAGATAAGTATTTTGCGTAATTCACTGAGCAATCTTTTATTTTTGTTTAACTTTTATTCTGTCATTCGGGCTTTGTTTGCTCCCCTTTCTTCTCTTCCCCTCCCCGCCCCTATCTTTTTCTCTGCTCTGATTATATTTTTCTGATTTTTTTTGTCAATTGGCGAAATTGGGGTTTATGCTGCGGTTCGATGAGCCTGAACCAAAAATAAATACATGCGAGTACAATGCAAATTGGAAAGCTCTCCCTCTTGGCCCATGCAACAGATCGAGAGAGTGCGTGTGGCAGAGATTTAACAAAACATCTAATCAGCATTAAAGTGACGCACATACAAACAAAAATTGAATGAGTTCCGACTAGTGGATACCCCTGAAACACTTCCAACACTCTCTGAATATATGAAGAAAGGAACAGAGTTTTTTTTATCGGACTGCTGCAAACTTCTTTGCTCTAATAAGAGTGTCATAATTATCCCATTAAATTGTAGTTTTACAAATTTAAAACTCTTTTGACTTCAATTTAAATATATTTATGATTCTACAGTGATACCAGAGTATTTTCTTGATTTGCATGGGAGTAAAGCAACGTGGAATAAATAAGTCTGCTACGAAAATGTGTTGCAGACAAATAAATCCGAGACCCCCGTAAAGAGGGGCGTCTCTGTCTCTGTGTATGTGAGTGTGACTCGTCGTCATCAATGACATTTCTGCAACGCCCCAAAATTGTTCCAATCGAATCCGCTGCCCTGCCACAGTGCCCCAGAGTCCGTCAGCCGCTTCAGTGCTCCACTCTGATCTGATCTGCTGTCCTCTCCTGTCTCCTGGCCTGTCTCTCGTGTCGCGTTTCCCCCTGCTCCCTCGGCTGTGTAAATATTTAAATAATTGGTTAAATTAATTACAATTATTAAGTCACTTGATGGTTTATCAACACGTTAACCCTCATCATCATCATCACACTGATGGACGGCACTGCACTAAACTGCTGCTCCTCCTCCTCCTCTTTCTTCATTTGATACTGTGCTATAATTAATTAATTCATACGTGTGTTTGTGTCGCATATCATCCACAGAACGGTTCGGTTGTGATGTTTGGACGCGTGGCCTCGTACCGCTTCCTCGACTCCCCCACGGATGGACGCTACAATCTGGCCCTCTCCCAATCCCAGTTGGATTCGGCCTGTCTCTACGAAAGGTGAGTTCCACCGGACTGCTAATTCTGTTTAATATTTTAAGAAAAGAATCCGCCACACTACGCTTTATCTGCCCCATAAACTTGTGTCAACAGATGAGCTACTGTGCTTCTGTGTTTTTTCGTGTGTTTGTTGAAGATAGATAAAAGATTGCAGATAGAAGAATTTCCATGCTAAAGATATCAGAGAATGCGTAGAGAATATTTCAAGTAGCGAAATTTAAAGATTAATTTATTTGTTTTTAAATTAAGGATTGTATAAAGAAATTTGAGGAAACTACAAATTAAAGAGAATACCTTTAGGTAACCCATGAGATCTATGAAAATGCTATAGAATATATACTGTTAAAGATTCAACTAAAAATTGTATGTAGAAAAAAGTTTCAGAGCCTCTAAGGTTCCACTTATCCGGAAGATATTTTTCTTTGAAAAGTTCCATTCTTAGGGAATAGTTTTCTACCCAAATTACTCAGAACTTACACAAGTTTTAGCACAGTTATTGTCTTCATTCAACTTTTAATGAAATAATTCATTCAATAATAATTGTTTGTAAAACTGAAATTTCCACTCATTTACTTGAAAACTCAACAAAAATAATCATTCCATGCCATGCCATATATTCCCACCAACAACACACTTGAAACGTGCAAAAGGGCCTCTCATATGTGTCTCTCTCACACTCTCGTTTGCTGTGTAAAGGAATTTTAAAGTCCATTTTCCACATTGGCTATTCTCAAGAGCCACTCCTCTCCCAGCCGTGCTGGTGCAGCAGCTGCACCAGAAGCTGGCTGGGGGGCAGAAGCACTCTTGTATATGTACAACGAGTCGTATTCACTACGTATTCCCTTTATGAACAGACCAAAGAGAGGAAGCCAAAGCAAACCGATCTATTCGTACGCGTAGCATTCGCGTTTACATATTTTGGTGTAGAATTTAATTTAGCTTTAGGGATAATGTATGTATATATTTCCGTATCCGTATGCAATTGCTGTTTTCATTTTGCTTATTTATTTATTTCTTATTCATGTATTTTTTTTTTATGTTTATTTACACGCTTTTTGTGCTCTGTTCTCTGTTTCTGTTTCGTTACGTGACTCGTTTTTTGTGTAAAACATTAATCTCATGCACATACCACATACAAAAACAAAACAAACAAATAAACAACAAATATGCAAAATTAATTTGCACAAACACCCACAAAACAAAAAACAATGAAAACAAAAACCCCATATCCTCAAAACGATTCAAACAACAACAACAACAGTCGGTCACCCACTTCGCCAGGATCTTGGAATGATGAGGACGGTGCCTTGAGTTCGGTGAGTAATTCCACTCGTATCCCCGAAGGGATAACCCCTATAATAATCCTCTCTTAATACCTGCCGTTAATAGACTCACAAAAGCGAATACGATCAGCATCAGCAATCGAATCAATCGAGTGGATACCATCACAGCAATACCAATAACAACAATAACAACGCCAGTGAACATCCTCTGAGCAGTACCCTGAGAGGCGATGTAGTAGACAGCAAGGCCACAGGACAGGATCAGGCGGTAAATGCCACGGGTCTTTTGGGGGGTGGCAACAACTACGATGGCCAGAGTCTCGAAGGTAATCTGGAGAATGAAACCAAATCCATTTCAAGCATGAAATCCGGTGGTTCCAACAGTCAGGATAGGTGAGAACTCATTCACTTTTCGATTTGTACGAATGATAAATGAATCTTTCTCTATATAAGAAAATTCCCTACAGGATTAGTCCTACACACACACACCCACACACAAACACACATACATATATATATATATATATAACAAACCATTATATATTATTCATTCACTGTCTGATTGAATTTTAAGTTGTTTTTTTGTGTGCGCTTTAAATGGCAATTTATTTATTTATATTTTATTGCACTCTGCAATCATTTTACACTCAATGTTTTAACTGATTTCTCTAGCTGTAGCTGTCTGTATCTTGTATCTGTATCTGTATCGTTGTGCTCTCTACTAATTGCTTAACAATTGCTTTCCCTTGAACAGATCCCCCAAAATGCCAGGCTCTGGTTTGTTGGCCGGCGGCGGTGGCAGTGGCTCCGGCGATGCCCAAGGACAGGAGCCCATTCTGCCAGCCGTTTTGGAGTTTCCCGAAACGCATCAGGAGCTGTTTTTGCGTCACATCATCAGCGAATTGGATGTGAATGTGCCGCACTTTAAGCTGGCACCTGTCTATTCGCTGTACCTGTGTGCCAGGTGTGTAACGAGACAGTGCTGAATCATTCCGGGAGGGAATTGGTTCCAAAGAAAGATGAAACAGCGCTTTGCCTGGCTTTAAATGTTGTATTAATGTACTAAAAAATGGGAGAAATATTTTTAAGAGATATTAATATGATTTCAAAGAGTTTTTGAAGGGGGGAGCAGATATATTTCCATCAAATATATCACGTCCTTGCTCTCATTTGCTCCCATATGACGCGGTACATTTATGCTCGACACCCACAAGCGACTGCTGCAAAGAGAATGCTGGCGAATTGAAAAAAAACCAACATACAAGTCGTGTGCATGATGCGGATAATTTGTGGGCTCTCACGAGTTTCGACTGCTCCCAAATGCAAGAAGACTGCGCAACGCTGAACTATAGAAGAATGTCTTAGTCACTGAAAGGAGAAAGGATTGCTTAAAGAAAAAACAAAGTTTAATTTAATTTAATCCACATTTGGGATCAAAGAAAGGGGATCAATAGAAATTAGAATTATTCATCTATAAATACAGCCAAAAACATTTTCATTAATTATATAGAAAAGAGGGCAGCATGCAGCACCAGAGTGTCCCAAATAATAATATTTCATCATTAATTTACAACAATTTGTCCTGCCATACTCCCACATGGATGTGCACTATACAGATAGATAGATATATAGATAGATAGATGGTTGGCTGCACTTCTCCATGCAACCTTCAACCTCCTCTTTTGGGGGTCACACAGCAATCGGTCGTTCAATGAATCCATTTATATTTCAATTTCAAAATCAAAGCTTCATTTAACAAGCCCCCACAGGCGGACACACAGACAGACAGACAGAAAGACGGATGGAAGGAAAGATAGATGGAAAGACAAGCAACACCATCTGATAAATGTATGGGCATAAAGTGGATAGACTTGCCATGCCGCACACATGCGAGTGGGATGGGATGGGAGTCCCCCTGAAGCAGTGGAAGCAGGACTATCAGCAGCAGCAGCAGAGGCAGAGGCAGCAGCAGTATCAACAATTCATTATCAATTATGATGATTTATCTTGGCTATTGTGCTGACCCAATTTGTGAGCTATTAATATTAATGTGTCCTGACAGCAGGAGGAGGTCGCTCGCCATGCAGGACCTACAGGACCTGCAGGGTTGACAGGGAATTTCGACATTTGACAGGCGTAAAAATCAATAGCCCCAAAGGCTCTGCCCTGAAAATTACTCATCCAATTAGTGGATCTGTCTCTCTCCTTTTTTTTTGTTTTTAATGAATGCTAATTGACGATGACATTTCTCTCTCTCCCGCTGCAGATACCGCGCCTCCACCCACTACCGTCCAGAGCTGCAGCCCACGGAGCGGGCCCACAAGCTGACGATGTTCCTGCACCATGTGGCCAATCTGGTGTACAGCGTCGTCCAGGAGCAGTACACTGATCCGCGGATCCTGGCCTTTTGGATGGCCAACAGCTCGGAGTTCCTGCACTTCCTCAAGTCGGATCGGCACATCAGTGCGTTCAGTGTCCAGGCCCAGGAGGTGCTCGCGGAGGCAGTGCAGACGGCGTTCCGCAATCTGGTCAACTGCTTCCGGCTGGAGCTCTCGCAGACACTGAATCAGTTCCTCTCGGAGAACATCGATCACGATTCGGCGGCGGGCCTGGTGCTCACGGTCCTGGGATCCGCCATGGCGCTGCTGCGTCGCTGTCGCGTCAATGCGGCCCTGACCATCCAGCTGTTCTCGCAGCTCTTCCACTACATCAATGTCATATGTTTCAATACGGTGAGCGTGGTAACCACCCCAACAGGGTGGTGCCAGACCTGAGCCCCTTCCAGATGTACTCATTGTTCCCTCTCTTCTCCGGCAGATCGTGGCCAACTCTCACATGTGCACCGCCGACTGGGGCAAGGTGATGACGGAGCGACTGCAGCTGCTGGAGCTGTGGGCGGAGCGTCAGGGCCTGGAGCTGGCCGCCGACTGCCACCTGGCGAAGATCAACCAGTGCGCGCAGTTCCTGCAGGCGCCCAAGTCCTCGGTGGAGGAGATCCAGCAGTTGGCCTGCTCCTGCTTCCGGCTGAACTCGCTGCAGATGGGCGCCCTGCTGCAGCTGGAGAAGATTCCGCGCAATCTGGTGGACACGGCCATACGCATGGCCGAGTCCGTGGCCGATGAGCTGACCCGCGCCGACGGACGGGAGGTGCGCCTCGAGGAGTCGCCCGAGCTGCACTTGGCCCTCCTCCTGCCCGACGATGGCTTCAGCTGCGATGTGGTCCGGGGCATACCCACGGGCCTGGTCGACTTTCTCAATCCCCTCCAGCAGCAGGGCATGTGCCGACTGGCCGCCCAGCCCACATCCATTGGCCTCTGGACGGTCTACATGCATCAGTTCAATGTAAGTCTGGACGGCAGCGCCCCAGCAGCCTTTGGAATACTTTTCTAACGAGAGAAACCATTTTGCAGGCTCGCAGCTCCAGTGCCATGTCCAACAAGCTGCCGCAGCCCGAGCTGCAGCTCATCAAGCTCCACAAGAACAGCAACGGCATGGGCCTGTCCATTGTGGCGGCCAAGGGCGCCGGCCAGGAGCGTCTGGGGATCTACATCAAGAGCGTGGTGCCCGGCGGAGCGGCGGATGCCGATGGCCGCCTGCAGGCGGGCGATCAGCTGCTGCGCGTGGACGGCCAGAGTCTGATCGGAATCACCCAAGAGAGGTAGGGATCTCCGAGCATGCATCTGAGATTGAGTTTCTTTGCTTATGGCGTATTGAATGTTGCAGGGCTGCCGATTATCTGGTGAGGACCGGTCCGGTGGTCAGCCTGGAGGTGGCCAAGCAGGGGGCCATCTACCATGGACTGGCGACGCTGCTCCAGCAGCCCAGCCCCGTCATCCAGCGTGGTGAGTAGCAGACTCCACACCAGGAGAAGCCTACACCTACATACATAGATACAAACACTCACACTCACACACTCACACACACACATTAGAGAGCTACTCCAGGTGTTGGGTAGAACGCTAAGAAGAACACTCACTCAAAGATACTCACACTCAAAGATACATTCCACACTCTCCAGTCCACCAGTCTCCCCGTTGTGTAAGCTAACAAAAGTAACCAAAGGTCCTTCCACCCAACCCCCAATCTCGACTCTCCAATCTCGAATCTCCAATCCATGCTGCTGCTTCACTCTGATGTGAATCTGAATCTGAATAGAAGCTTCCTCGAGCAACTTCCTGCAGCAGCTGCAGCCGAACCAGCAGCGGCGCCACTCCTCGTACCAGCAGCAGGCCCGCTACTACAGCAACTCCATCTCGGACGACAGCCTCAATCGGAGTCGGCGCGAGTCGTTTGCCTGCATGCGCGCCTCCTCGCCGCCGGTGCGTCGACTGAGCGCCTCCTGCCTGCAGGAGGAGCTGTGCGCCCAGGGGCACCAGCTGCACATCGATCCGCGATACAGGGACACCCGACCGATTGCCCGATCCGCCAGCAGCTTGTATCTGGCCAACGACCAGGGCTACTACCATCCGATCCCTTCGGCGGCGGCGGCTGCTGCACACTTTAGTCCCATGCGTCCGCTGCGCAGGACACCGCCGCCCTCGATCTTCATAGAGGAGTACCTGGACGAGCCACCGCAGGAGGCGCCACCACCGGTGGAGCCGTGCCAGGCGTCATGCACCTCCCAGGAGTCGTTTGGGCACTTTGCCGCCTACAGCGATGCCCATCAGCCGCTGAACGAGGACGGGATCGCCTCCATGGCCCACTCGGATGATATACCCTTCATTGACGATGAAGAGGAGCAGCAGCAGCAGCAGCAGCAGCAGCAGATGCACCCGCCCATTTGCACCCCAGCCGTTGTCGTCGCCCCATCCCCCTCCTTCATGGTGAAGCGCACTCCTGTGGCCGGCTATCGAAAGACAGTCAGCTTCGATCTGGAGCAGCCAGTAGCAGGCGGGGGTGGTGGAGGTGGAGGAGAAGGGGGAGCAGGAGCAGGGGCAGCTGCAGCCCTAGGAATCGACAGGAAGTACCACACGCACGATGCCATCAGTCAGTTTGCGGCCAGCACATCCTCCACCGAATCCCTGATGGCAGAGCAGGCGGAGCGCATGCCGCTGATCCAGAAGATTCGTCGGGAGCTCAACAGCAAGCGGGCGACCAACTGCACGGCGGATGGCTTCAGCTCGGGCGGATCGGGCTCGAATAGTCAGCGCTCCTCCAGCGAGTCCATCGAGCGGATGCCCCTGCTCCGACAGCAGCAGCAGCAGTCGCCCATCCATCGACAGTTGAACACTCAGCGATCGCACAAAAGGTCAGGATTGAGTCCCAGTCCCAGTTGCAGTTCCGTCGCCGTCGCCGTATCCGTCTCGGTCTCTGCTCTCGCTGCTCCTCCACCTCCTATTATCAGCATCAAAGTTCCTAATCTGTGTGAAACCGAAAGTTCCTGCACCCGTTCTCGTTCTCGTTCTCCTCCTGTAAATACAAGCAATCGATATTGTGCCAGCACCGTCCGTACCAGCACCACCTCTGCCTCTGTCTCCGCCTCTGCCAAATCAAGCCTCCCACCACCTCCACCTCCACCCATCGTCCGCAGGCGTCGCGCCAGCAGCCAGATGAATCTTAGCCCCAACTTCCTGCTGCCCCTGGGGCAGGGCAAAGTGCGAGAAATGGCCGCCTACTTCAATGCCCATCAGAACTTTCCCCCGAGCATGGGCAGAGCCAAGTCCAAGTCCACCTCCGCTCTGGCTGCCCACAGAAGCTGCAGCCCCAAGCTAACGCACTGCGAACAGGGCCACATCCTCAAGCAGCTGAAGGAGTGGAGTCTGCATGGGAGTGCTGGCAAGGATTACGATGTCCCAGCACCAGTACCAGCACCAGCACCAGTCAAACCTTCCTGCGATTGTCCCTGCTGTGGGCATTGCCGTGAAGGGATACAAACTCAAGAAGAGCAGCAGCAGCAGCAGCAGCAGGAGAAACAGAAACATCTCTCTGGCAACGCAGGTTCCACTTTCAAATGCTACGATAGCTGTCGGGAGGATGCCGAGGCCAGCAGTCGGAAGCAGCCACTGGAACCGACACCTGCACCTGCACCGGTATTGTCCCGCTATGCGGCCTGCCGTCGGAGTGTCATGTGCAGCAATCGTCAGGTTCACAGTTTGCGGCAGGTGAAGCGCAACAAACAGCAGAGGCAGGAACATAAGCAGGAGCCTCTGAAGCACAAAGCCAAACAGGACTCGGCAAGACATCAGCGTCACCATTGCCACCACCAGCCACGGCCCCAGGCTCCTGTCTCGCCTCCCTCCACAGCCAAAGTGCTGCTGTCTCTGGCAAGCAGCAGTGGCAGCAGCAAGAGTGCCCCTAACAAGGCCAACAAGTCCTGGCCAAATTGCGAGAATGCATCTGATGATTACCCAAATTCCTGCAGTGAGATAGAGTCCTGCTGCTCGGCTGCTGATTCCACCCCCGGCTGCTGTCCGCACTGCAATGTGCGAGAAATGCATGTTAATGTCAATGTCAAGGCAGCTCCTCCAGATGGTAATGATGATGATGACGAAGATGATGACGATGATGGGGAGGATGATGGGGAGGATGATGGGGAGGATGATGAGGAGGAGGCACTGTCTGCCAGTGTCAGTGGCCATTGTGTCGGACAACGACTGGGACCAAGCACAGCAGCCACAGCCGTCGCCACGTGCTCCACACACAGATGACAACCTAATTATGCTGCACCGAGGTTCATGTTGTTCCCCTCGTCGTTGTTCTTGCTTCATTTTGTTGCTTAAATGTTGAGTTTTAGTCCTTTGCTTTTGCTTTAGATCTTAGCTGGAACGACACTCGTCCTTCGCTTTGATTTTAACATATTTTCCGTTGATTTCTTGTGCATTTTTGTGTAGAATCTTCAGTAGCTTCGTCTGTAGGCTGTGCATACATAAACTCGTACATAATTTGTAGCTTCATTGCAAGTGATTCACATATTTTAGGCACACTTTTTCTTAGTTATTTTGCAATTAAAACATCTTTTGTTCCTTTCAATTCAAAACTCCAGAAAGTCGGTCGTTTGGCTTACGAACACTATTGATGAGAAAGCAATTCATTTTGTTTTGAATTTAATCAACTTTGCTATTATTATTTCCGCTAGATTTTCTATAGGGAAATTATTCCACTTTTTGCATCAGATTTTTAATTGGAATTTATTGACTTTTTGGCCTTGTTAAATTGTCGTAACTTTTTGCTTTAATTTTTTCCTTGAATATTCAATTAAATATTTATCTATTTTAATGAGAATGAGAACTTTATTCCAGCTTTATTCTATACCTGACATGTGGCTTTCGCTTGTTAGTTTTGTACAAATATATTTATTCTGGATATAATTGAATTATATTTGCTTTATCTTTCCTTTTCCGCCTTCCCACCTCTCCACTGATTTCTTTTGTAGAATATTTGTAATTACATTTTGTATGCATTAAATAATTAAAATATTTATCACATTTTCAAACGAAATTTACTAACAATTTCCAACTAAATATTCATCTGTCTATCTATCTATCTCTCCCCCAATCCATGCACAAATCCAAAAACAAAATCAAAACCACCAACGCAACTCGCAATTCCCCAAACCAATGCACTCTCGATGATGACGATGATGATGATGATGTTGCTGGGATATCACAGGTAATCGACGGATGTCCGAAAGAGATCTAACGCGAATGGGCGCCGCCGAATCATCGAAATCCCTGGGCGGCATCGGTGGCCCACTGATTGCCACCGGGCATGCCAATCACAGCCTCAGCCTCAGCCAGCACCTGAACAACAGCCACAACATGAACAGCAGCAGCAGCAACAGCAATAGCCACAACAGCAACAGCAACAGTAGCATCATCAATCCGTTAACTGCACACCTTCCAAATAGCAAATCAGTGCCGGCCCTGCATCATCACACGGGATCTGGTACCATATGTAAGTGGACTGCAATTGGCACCACCATCCTCCATTCTCCATCCTCCATCCTGCACCATCCCCATCCCCATCCCAATTACAATCACAATCACAGGGAAATCTGCAGAGAAATCGAATCGATATTTAAGCCAGAGATTAATTCCATGCTGCATCTCCATCTTTCCCTCTTCCTTTAGCTCTGGCCAATTCCAAGTCACGCAGCACGCACAGTTTGCATAACAATACATCCGCAGCCATGGGTGGCATCGGAGGAGGAGTGGGAGTGGGACCAGGAGTGGGAGCTGGAATGTTGGGTCAACCAAATGGCAGCCACAACAATGCAAATGGAAATGGCGCTGGAAGTGGAAATGGCAACGAGCAAGGATTCTATCAGAATTTGAGCGTATATCGGGCACAAAATCAAAGCCAACCGATACTGAATGAAAGGTAATATACGATACACATATGTAGATTTAATACGATTATACAGATTAACTTGCATAAAGGGGTTACGTACAGTGAAGGTCAAGGGATATTTCTTCCACCAAAATATTTAAAATCTAAATACTTCCTTCTAACAAAAATACCATCAAATAAAATATCCAATTGCCTTTCCTTTCTTATAATAACTTTTAAAGACAGGAGTTAGCACTCCCATAATTCTGACCCCGGTTGTACACGCCTGCACACATACGAGTATATCCACCCTCTAGAATTTTGTCATCTAAAATTCGGTTGTGTTCCGCTGACCACTAAAATTGTTTTCGCTTTCGGTTTTGTTTTGGTTTCGGTTTGGTTCGGTTTATGTTTTTGACGGGTTAGTTTTTATGGTCAAAAATGGTTCTAGAGTTGGAAAATCATTTTGCAGTTGTGATTTCTGTGGTTTTGTGCCAAATTACTGAAACTAGTCGGAATATCGTTTGCATTTGTGCTGGAATTCGCTGACTATGATGGCATAGCCTAGCAAGAGTCAAAATTAGTGGAAATAGAAAATAAACAATGTTATCTTTGATGTAACAAAATATATATGGAACGATTATGATGACGAAAGTCTATAAAGATTTGTATTAAGAATACATTTGTTTGGGGAAAATTGGATAAATTATTCCTAAACGTTTGGAAATTCCTAAAGCTATATATTTTTTTTTATAGATATAGATTTAGATATATATATACATATCATAGATGTTTTATAAAGTGGAATTAAAGACGGCATTTTACTCAGAACAACGCTCAATCTGAATTGAATTAATATATAATAATATAATTATAATTTCTGCTCTCGGTTTCCCAATTTAAACGAAAATCCTGTTAAGTTCAGCTTGAGAATTATGAACAGAAAGATTTATTCAAAATTTCATTCCAACCATATATCCAATACCCAAACACCTACAAACCAAACCGAACCGAACCAAAAAGCACTCCCATCGCAAAAACCAAAACCACCGAAGGCCGGGGCAATTAATAATTTACAACAAATTGTTGGTGCTGAGCTTGGGGTCATGGAGTTTCTGTTGGTGTTGTTCATGAGGCAGGTATGACAGGTGGCAGCAGAAGCAGCAGCAGCAGCAGCAGGGAATGTGCCAGGTGGCATGTGTGGAATGTGGTCACAGAAATTTGCACTCTGCCAGAAGCTTAAATTGTGTGTTACCTCTCTCGTGTGTGTAATTCTAGGGTGACATTACGTTTACAGAAATTACTTTACGGCTTCATACCTATTAAGAGTGAATACCAGATGGTAGAAACGATCCAAGTACGTGAGTAATTAGAGGCTCTCTCGCTCGAGTTGTGCTCTTCAATGTTTCGTGTTTGGTGTTGCTGCTGCTGTACAGAGGCACACGCACCCTGGCACTTGTTTTTTTTGGGATGTGAGAAGGATGAAGGAGGAGGAGTAGCCCTTGCGCACCCCACACACGTTGTGTAATTAAAGCAAACGATGTCACCCACCCACCAGCAACACTTGAACACCTTTTGGCCATAATTATGATAGTAATACCATTTCATTTATGTCTTTCAGACTGCCGATGTCCACACATGCCGCCATGAACGCCTACAATGGCAATTCCCCGCTTGCACAGCAGCAGCCACAGCAGCCACAACCATCACCCTACCAGCAGCAGCAGCTCCTCCAGAGCAATGCTAATCTGGCACCCACTCGACCCGTCTCCGCCTACTACCACAGCCAGCAAACGGCGCAGCAGCAACTCCAACAGCAGCAGCAACAGCAACAGCAGCAGCAGCAACACACGCTGCAACAGCAACAATTTGCACACAGCAGCAGCAATCTCAACGGCCAGCAGCAGCAGCAACATCAGCAGGCGCAACACCAGCACCAGCTCACCCTCAACAATCGCACCAAGAGCCAGCAGAATTTCCAACACACCCTCCGCATGCAGCAAATGATGGCTCCATCGATGCCCAATATCAGCAACATGTACCACCAGCAACAGCAGCAGCAGCAGCAACAACAGCAACAGATGCCACTGCAACAGCAACAGCAGTTGCAGCAGCAACCTCCCATGAGCAGCAGCCAGAGCATGCAGAATGTCAACGAATTCCAAGGGAGCTTCCAGAATGGAGGCGGCCTGGAGTACCAGCATGCCCGACGCAGTCAGATCCATGAGCCTGCCACACTCTACGAACTCCAGCAGCAACAATTGCAACAACAGCAGCAGCAGCAGCAGCAACAGCCTTCGCCCAACTTCATTGCGTTGCCACCCAAGCCTCTGGGCAGTCTTCAGTCACCCAACAAGCCGGCGGCTCCGCCCAGCACCGCGCCGAAGCCGCAGCAACAACAGCGAATGTCGCAGACGGGCTACCTGCCCGGCCACGGCCCTGCCGGCGTGCTGGGCGAGGATAAGCCACCGCTTCCGCCCACCGCCACGCATCCGCTGTTCAAGGCCACGGCGCAACTGGCGCCCGGCATGAACTACGTGGCAAGCACCCTGGACCCGCCGAAGGGCAGCTATCTGCCGACGAATCAGCAGGCGGCCAACAGACCACCCCTCCACAGCGGCAGCAATCCGTGGGAGCGCGAGGAGCGAGAGAAGGACCTGGAGATGAGACGCGAACACATCCGCCAATGGCGAGAGCAGCAGATCTCCGATCTGTCGCAGACAATCTCCCGCTCCGGGCAGCAGGAGGAGCAGCTGAAAACACTCATCCTCGAGCGGGACTTTGAGCGGCGAGCGCTGGAGCTGCAGGAGCAGGAGGACCAGGACCAGGATCAGCAGTACGACAAGGAGAACATCCAGGAGCTGTTTAGGCTGGCGGCCAGTGGGCAGGTCAGTGCCATACAAACACCCATCACTAGCTATCGCCAGACGGAGATCAAAATGGCGGAGATTACCGACAGCAGCAGCAGTCCCGTGGAGCAAGTGGCGGCCCAACCGCCTGCAATGGCTCCGATGACCGGCCACCAGCAGCAACAACAACAGCAGCACCAGCAGCAACAGCCCAAGAGCATACTCAAGCATAACCGATACTCCGAGGGAGGAGCAGGCAGCAGTGGAGCCCCCTCCTCGCCATCCAAGTCGCAAAAGTCGGCCAGCTTCGCAGACGACCGGCACCTGCAGACGGAGCATCCCATCTCCAGTCTGGCCAAGGAGCTGACGCAGCTGACGATGCTGGACAAGGACAACAACAACGAGACCCTGGATGCTGCAGTGCCTCCACCGCCGCCGCCAGAGCGGAACAGCTCTTACCTGATAATGTCGCAGCAGAAGATCAGAGGCAGCAGCAGCTCCTCCATGGGATTGCTGAAGACAGCGACCAGCAATCAGGCAGCGGCCGCCGTCGAGATCAAGAAGGCATCCCTCCTGAACACCCAATCCAACAACAACAACAACAATAGCTTGAGCGGAAACCTGAACAACAACAACAACAGCAGCAGCATGCAGGCATCGCCCCTCAGTGCCATGGAACTGAATGCCGCGTATGTGTCTGCTACGGGAACGGGAATGGTGGGAGCATTGGGCACACCGCCCCCACCACCACCACTGCTGCAGCGGGACAACAAGCGGGTGAGCTTCCACGACGAGGAGAACAATTTCGTGAGCGGGAACAGCCAGCAGCAACAGCAGCAGCAGCAGCAGCAGCAGCAATACATCATAGATAATTATGGCATGGAGCATCAGGATTTGGACACGATCAGAGAAGATGCTAGTGTGAGTGGGGGGAGAGAAAGATCAGACAGAATGCCAGACAGAAGCTAACTAATATCTTTGTATAGTATCTGCAGCACAATCTGGATGCCTCCATGCTGCCCTCCATGCCGGCCACGCCAGATGCGGCCCTCTGGAACACCTCAGTGCAATCAACGCCCGGCGTGATAGGCGCCCAAGAGGTGTACAGGTGAGTGGAATATTAAACGAACTCGATACAGATCTCTGACAGAATCTTATTTCCTTTGCAGAGATCCGCGTACGCGTCGCCTGGCCGAGAAGCAACAGCAGCAGCAGCAACAACGCGCTGGCGATGCCGTTCCCGAGAAGCTCTCCTTCAAGGAGAAGATGAAGATGTTTGCTCTGGAGTCAGGGGAGGATAACACGCCCAAGGATAAGCTGAAGATATCCCGAGCCCAGCGAGACATCGATGCAGTGCACTGAGCAGCAGTAGCAGCAGCAGCAGTAGGATGGGGGACCAGAACGAATACAGATCATGTACATACAGACACTTAGAAACCCGAACCCACAGAGCATCTTACACTTCAATTAATTGGGGGGCCAAGTTGTTTCGTTAGCTCTACTTAGATACATACACACACACACACACACATAGAAATATATATTTAGATCGAGTTATATATCAGATAGCGAGAAAACAGAAACAAACCTAACGAATTTGCTAGGCAAGGCAATAAACAATCCATAGTTATCGCGTTCCAGAGTTGATTACATACCACAAAATGTTAACTGGATTCAATTAGTGAGAATTATCAGTGTTTATCATTACTTAGTATAGTACTATATATACCCCTGTTTATATATACGAAACTATGCATATATACTGTATATGTGGAAACTGTAACGAGCCTTGAAAAAGGGAAACGAAAGCGGGACGAGGCGAGGCGAGGAGAGAGCCACATTTGTAAAGCGTTTTAAACATTATTATTAACCTTAAAGAAGCCTACAATTAACAGATTGTTACATCGGATTACAGCATACAATTTATGGTTAGACAGTGTAAATGACGGGAGTTACGATAGTTTAGATATACAATGCATACATGTATTTACCTGGGAATCGTGCGGAACAAGAAACGTTTATATATACTAAATCTATTAGAGAATTTTAAGCCACAACAACGTTTAAACAAATGGTCCAATTATTCAATTATTAAAACTACATACATACATACATATATATATATATTTACAAAAAAAAAAAAGAAAGCTTGAAAAAAAAAACAACACCACGATCGAACGATTAAAGATTAACGATTAAAGAACTAAGGAAATATTTAAATATTCACAGATTCGCGTATATTTTTAATTGAAAAAGCATTTCGTACAACTTTTAAATGCAACAAAAGTACCAATTTAAATCAAATAGGATTTCACTACACAAGAACCTAATGGCTTTAAAAATAAACGAAATAAAATAAAAAATGTTTTATCCTGCACACCTATGTATCGTACAGATAGGATATCCTGTGTATGGGACTGGATTCTTTGTTATAGCTTAAAAATTAATTCGAAAACAAGAGACCACAAGGCAACAAATTATTTGTGTGCATTCCAAGTATTTAAAATATATAGAACCAAGCAAAAATTACAATTATATATATTTAACTATATCAAAAGCAAACGCAAAACCCAATTGTAATATATAAGACGCGATTTATTTTTTAATATGCGAAACTATTTTTTAAAGAAATATTGAGAAAAATTAACAAAAACTAACAAAAAATCAACAATTGATGTGTGTATAATTCTGTAAAAAGATATACGAAGATTGTCGTTTAGTTTCACCATTAAGCGCGTTTAGTTTTATATATTAAAATTATATATATATATATAATATTATATATCAAAATGCAAACAATTCAGCAAAATATTGTGCATATTTATGCAAAATAAAAAGTTAATTATATGAAAAACAATATGAGATGAGGCTATTTTTATTTGTAGACCGAGAATGAATCTAGAGAGAATATTTTCATTTTAGTTTAGAATTTAGAATTCAAATATGTCAACGCACCTTTTAGTTTTGATAAGCAATTTATTATTTAGTTCTCTTCAACTATTATTTATAGTTTTAAGATTTAAAGGCGAACATTCAAGCATCAGTTGAAAGAACTTCTGTGTCAATTTTATATATTTTTAGCTACCTTTTCTGGCAATATTTTGAACCATGTAGCACCGTTTTGTTTGCTTCTTCTTGTGAATCAGCTGTTCGCTGGGAACACTTGCACACTTGGCGCCCCAACGAAATTCAAATCCCTGAAAACAGTCATGCGCACGCGACCAAACTGTTCCCGGACATCAACAGGTTAGGGAATTGACCTACCTAAATACATTTTTCATGAAGCTGGCAAGTGGCAACTCAACCGGCTGACAAGTTATTGGCCCCCGACACATTCCCTGCCTCTGCCACAGCCACAGCCAGCCACCCTTTCCGTGCACCTTAAAAATTTAAATCAAAGTTTGGGCAGGGCAAATAAATTCGCACAAAAAGTTCAAGTATGCCTTTAGTGATTTATGTTTGCACTGAAACAAAATGGTTGAAACTGAGACCCGGCGGCTGCCGGCAAAAGTTTTCGCTTTGAATGCGCAAATATTTGGGCAAATTATATGCCAATTTTCCGGCACCCAGAAAAACTTATTACATTGCTTCAATTGATGCTTTGACAGGAGTATCCAGCAACAATTGCCAGCCTCACCCACATGCTCCGGCAGCCACTTAAAGCGTTGTCCTGGTCTCAAGATATTCCTTCCCTTCAGCTCCCACTCCCCACTTCTCCTTCCGTTTCGGGAGATACCTTTGCACGCACTTTCCTTCAGGGGAGGAGGCTCGAAAGTTGCAGGCTAAGTTTCATTGCCGCCCCAGAACCAGTGGGGTACACCCACAATGTAATTTAAAAGTCAAACGACAAACTTTAACCGGCACCGGCATCGACACCGGCACAGGGAACAATCTGGAAGAGGAGCATAACCAGGAGCCGGGAGCAACCAGCAACGAGGACTTCTTTATGGCCTGGAGACAAGCGTGGAACGGAACGCCTTAAAGCGCTGCCGCGTGAAATGTTTTTCGGGCCGAATGTATTTTTCAGCAGTTTGCCATGTGAATTATTAAAATGCGCCAATCTCTTTGATATCCACCCCCACCCACACCCGCCACGAACTGTAGGAGGGGATTCGACCCGTAATCAGATGGCAGGGGACGAAAACTTTACCAAATTGTTGACAGTTGCCTGGAGGAAGGGAAGGCATTCAGATTGCATGTCTCGGAATTTTTCAATATTCAAGGGAGATAATCCCCTGTCAATATCCTCCAGCTGGTGCTCCGGCTGCTGCTGTTGCTGGCCGCAAAGCAACAGGAAAAACTGCGAGAAAACTGCGGACAAACCGCAACCAAAGCGAAAAGAAAAATATGAACTGTGGGGAAAACTTTCAGAACGCGACTATACCAAATAAATCAAAAAGTGATTAGGCCAGCGTCCGGGCAGGGCGGCAGCTTCCTCTGGCCATCTCTCCCTCTGGTAGAGTGTAGCGGGTAGCGGTTAGCGGCCAGCAGCTTCCCTCTCTTTCACTCGCCATCTGTCCAGCTGTAAATTGTCTGTTGAGTGGCTGCTGGAAAATAAGAAGAAAGCAAGGGCTAAGGTGTGTGTGTGTAAGCACGAAGGGAAAGCTGAAAATGTGGGCCAACTGCTGCTGAAAGGAAATTCAAACTTGGCCATAAAACTTTTGCCACATCTTTGGTTCACGGCTATGGCTATGGCTGTGGCTATGCTATGACTACGGCTGCGGCTTTGGTCAGTGCCGAGTTGATAAATGAGCAGCGTAAAGTGCGCGGGCAATCAGAAGAATCGTGAAAATTATAGTTTGCCAGGCCATAAAACAAAAGCCCCCAGCCACCTGGCCACCTAGCCACAGAGCCACAAAGACGCAACAATAGCAGGACAAAGGCCTTAACAATAGTAGTTTTTCCCATTTCCCCATCATTTTCCTCGGTTTTGGTTCAGCTTAGAGACTTCCCCACCTGGCCCGTCCTCGCCCTCCTCCCTGTCAAGAGTTCTGACAGGTTTCTTTATTTGCATTTGAAAATATACAGATAATTTGCTCAAGAGAAATGAAGAGCACTTGGACAGGGATTGGGGTGGGATGGGTGGTTCTGGATGGGGATGGGCAGCATTTTAATGAGTCAGGATTGTGGTTAAGATACGGAACGAAACGGAGGGGTGAGGTGAGGTGAAAGGGTTTAAAGGATTAGGAATAAACTTGGAGATTGCATAAGTTGCAGCTGTTAATTGGAGAGAGCTTGAGGTGAGATGGAAAAGTCAGCAGCAGACAGAACTCAAGATGACGATGAAACACATTCAGAGTCAATTGGTATGGGAAGGAGTACGAGTACGAGTACGTATGCAAAGTTGTTGAAGAAGTGCCCAGTATCAACACGGCTTGAGGTATAAATTATATTGGTAAATCCATAGAGGATCCGATGGGATGCACAAAAACAACGCAGCTCCTTCTTTGGATAGATATTCAGATATCCTTACTTAAGACGCCTCGGGCTTTATTTACGCAAATATTCGATCTCGTTACTCAGAATTATGTATGTAGATGCTTAGTATAATGCTTAGCCAGAGCTAGACCTATCAGCTATAGCAAAGGAAAACAGTATTATGCCTAGAACTTGTATAAAAAACTTGTTTCGTATTGGGGAAAGTGGAGCTTAGACTTTAAGAAGTGTCCGCGGAACAAACAATGTAATCGTGTGTGTGGTGAAATTTACCTAAAAATTAAACTAATGTCTTAGACAAAGCACCTCGGCTGGACGATGCCAAGCGAGGTGTTCTATTACGGCGTGGTAGACTCATGTCTTGTTCAGAGCCACCAGGAGGAAGATTAGCCACTGGTGGAGACTGCTGTAGCCATGGCCCAGTCTGTGGAGACCGGCAGCCGCTGACTTGATGGCCGAAGCGGAGTACTCCCCTGAAATGGCACATTATATTGGTACACTACGCGCACTCGAATCCCACTTACCGCTAAGCACGTGCAGCTGCATGGACACCGCTGCACTATTCTCCGGCTCACACGTATAATTGCCGGAGTGGATCTTGCGCACCAGGGGAATGACCAGCGAGCCAATCTGCAAAACCGATTTTCCTCATTATTGAAAGCTCACCATGCCCTCGGGCAATCCAATCCCATCCCATCCAATCCCCTTACCGTATTCCGATTGTGCTCGGTGCTGCCAAAGATATTCCTATCGATTTGGGTGTACCAGCCGCTCTGGGCTCCGCTGGCCTCGTTCTCGGCCGTCACCTGCTGCTCCCCGCGATACCAGAATATGTATTTCGGGGCCTCCAGAGTGCCCCGCACAATGCAGTGGAGCTCCACCTTGCTGCCCGCCTTCACAAAGCGCTGCCGATCGCCAATTAGCTCGGTTCGGGGTGCTGTGGTACACATAAATGGGATGTTAAGGCTTAATGCTCCTTTAAAGTCATGTAAGTCACTCGTCTACTGAGTCTACTGAGCTGCAAGTTGAACGTTTCAGCTCGTTGCACTTACTTATCACAAACAGCTGCACCTTGGCGCTCATTTTGGGCTCGGTGGCCAGCTGGCACTCGTACCAGCCGGCATCCTCCAGCCGCACGTATTTGATTTGCAGCGTCCAGCTCAAGCTGCTCCCGTTGCCCCTGTCCTCCGGACTGGAGGCATTCGCCGGGATGACCATAACGGCAGTGGGGGTGGCTGTCGTGGATGGGACCGGGACCGGGGCCGTGGATGTCGTTGCCTGGAGCAGCGATGCGAAGCGGGCATCGTTGATGAAGGTTGTGTGATCCACCGCAATGATATGTTCGTCTCGCAAACGCACCCAGGAGAGGGGCTTGTTTGTGTGCTGGTTGAGCTGCAATGCAGAGACATATACAGAGGCAGAGACAGAGACAGAGAAGGAGAAGGTGCTTAGCGACCCGGGCTGGGCTCTATTCAGTGGAAGCTTTCAATTACGCCACTCAACTTGCAACGTGCAGCCTCCCTCCCATTCTCCCCGCACTCGTACTCACTTTACAGGGCAGATAGGCATGCTGGCCGGCTTGCACGGTGGCATTCATCGGTGGCAGACTGAGCTGGCGACGTGGCAGCTGCTCCCGCTCCCTGGCCAGCTCCTTTTCACGCCTCAGCTGCAGCTCCTTTTGTTCGCTGTCGTAGGCATGGAGTCGTGGCTGGGCCTGGGACTGTCCCTGGGCCGGAGATTGCGACTGCGGTGGATGCTCATTAGATGGCATCAGTCTGCCATCCGTCGGACTTCTCGGCCACGCACTGGCGTTCCTTTGTATCTGCGGCAAATCGGCAGGAATGAAGTCCGGAAAGGGCGGCAGATACGTGGGTATTGAAAAGCCCTTTGTCAGCGTTGCTGTGTCAGGCCTCTCGCTCCAGATGTCCACCGGTTGCTGCTGCTGCTGCAGCTGCTGTTGATCCTGTTGCAGCTGCAACTCCTGCTGCTGCTGCTGCTCCACTGTTGTAGCCTCCATGGCAGCCGCCTGATTGCCACCGCCTCGCAGCCGCATGACTGTTGCAGCACCCCCAACTCCTGGCCCTCCCACCGCTGTGGCCATTGTGATTGTTGGCGCGAAAGTTGTTGGTGCAATTAGCGATGCGTTCTCCCCCATGGGCGCCGCACTCGCTGCCAGCGCTGCAAAATAGGTCAAGAACGAAACAGGCATCAGTTGGGCAATCTTATCGAAGTTTCTCCTGTCCGAATAATGGTTTTAGGCCTGACAACTGACAGGAAAAGCGCACAGCTGTCAAACTAGGGCTGGTTCAAGTTTTCAGAGACATTGGGAATCGTGCTATGGGGGGTATTTCCGTTGGGATCACAATGCCAGAGATAAAAGAAAATTAGAAATTATTTTTGTACTGTGGAAGTTGATTTTCTGTACCCTGTAAGTGGTATTAGCGTAAAGACATAGCTCTTAAAAAATACCTTAGAGATAATTAATTAATTTTAATTATTGTAGTTAAAAATAAGAAGGCTTTGCCTGCCCCACCGCAGGCTCTGGCATACCCGCCAGCACCCTAAGTAATTTCATTTCCCATAATGCAAACTATTTGTCCATCCATGACGTACAATTGAGCGTATTAGTCAAAGCTTTTTGTGTATTAATTGACAAATTGTGAAATATATTTTTGGAAAATATATAAATTTTCCAGCAGCAAATTGCCATATTCATCATGGGGAAAATGCAAATTTATGTGCTCAGGACATTCGATTCGATTGCGTTTCGGGTCAAGTGTTCCGTTCTGTTTTTTTTTTGTTTTCGGTGGGAGGACAATCTCGCAATTGATGGGGGGATAATTTCGTGTGAATTTATATTTTGTCACAGCAGCTGTTACTCGTATCGGGGGGTCTTTGCCGTAATTATTGCACCAATGGGAAAATTATGAAAACTCAAATTAGGCGAGCCGTGAAATAATTGTATGATGAAATTAGGAGGGAGAGAAGTGGTGCGGGAAACGCTTTTTGGGTCAACAGGAAACCAGTAGTCTTTTTGAAACTAAGCAGTGTGACTGACACTGGACGAAAAATCATTGCAAACAGAGAGAGAGAAGAGAAAGGGAAGAGAGAAATCAGTTTGCATGTAAGTGGAGTTGGACACAGCCACATCCGCATCCGCATCCACAACCCTTCTCCGAGCAGCTGCGACATGGAAGTGACTAGACTGTGGACAGACTGGCTGTCCCGCGCGGAGGATCTTGGCGACGAGGTCGTTCGTCGGAGTCGCCCCGTGCTGCCCACAGTGGCGCGCCTCTGTCTGGTGGCCACCTTCTTCGAGGACGCCCTGCGCATGTGGTGCCAGTGGGCGGACCAGATGTCCTTCCTCCAGCTCCACCTGAAGTTCTCCTGGGGCGTGGCCCTGCTGAGTTGCCAGGTCAATCTGTTGGGTCAGCTTGTGGGCTGTGGCCTGGTCCTGTTCCGAGTGTGGACCAATGTGGCCGTAACACTGCTCGTTGGCCTGGTCCTCTTCCAGCTGCACGTCTATTCCGTGCCGCTGCAACTGGAGCAGCTGCTGCGAAACTTCTCCCTGCTTGGAGGACTGCTCCTGCTGCTTGTGGAGGCCAACGAAGAGGCCTCTGGCTGTCGGATCTACGGAGCGCGCGCAGGTCTTCCGCTGCTGGAGGAACCCAGGCGATCGCAGCACCTGATGCAGCTCACGGGCAGGATCCTGCTGGCCCTCATGTATCTGACAGTGCTCCAGCAGTACTTTGGCTTCGCCGCTGCGGTCCTCAATAGCTTTGGCCTGCTCCTGATGACCCTCATCCTGCTGGGCTACCGCACCAAGCCGGCTGCCCTTCTGCTGGCCATCATCCTGAGCATTTGGAATGTGAGCGTCAATTCCTGGTGGTTCGCGGAGGGGATGGAGCGGGACTATCTCAAGTACAACTGCTTCCACACCCTGTCCGTGGTGGGGGGTCTGCTGATGGTCGTGGTCCTGGGTCCCGGCGAGGTCTCCCTCGAGCAGTACAAGAAGCACTGGTGATCGGTCACCTGGTGCCCCCCCCCCCCCCGGAGGGAGTCGCCTAACGAACTAAAATTTTGTGTATTGTGTCTGACGACTGCGTTCTTCGAAATTTGGAATCCAATTTGTTCAATTAGAGCTTTTCAGTTGGACGAGATTAAAGAGTCCTCCCTCACAGCGGGAGTGCTGTCCCTAGTCCTTATCCTGATCCAATCAAGCCGCCGGCTCGCGGCCACATTGCAATTTTATTAGAGCATAAAATCCCGCAGATGGGCCTCAAATTACTCTCCCTCCCAACGCCTACCACATTATATATTCTGCGGTGGCTTAGGACGCTCTCTCCGTGGAACCTCCTCCGCCCGGAAGCTATAGCCATGCCATGGGTTTACCCTTAAAACCCTAACCCCCCACCCACCACCGCCGAGCTATAGCTAGGCTCTGCCTCCTTTTTGGTTAGGGGTAGGGGGGATGGGCTTTTGTTTCTTTGGTTTCTCGTTCTGGTCTCTCGCCTCCGGCTGCAAATTTACGCGCAGCATAACAAATAACAACTAAGTATTTATTATGTAAATAATATTATGCCAAATGCTCACACACACACACACACACACACACAGTAGCAAGATGGCGGAAGGGGGAGTGGGAAAGGGAGAGAAAAAGCTTCAGCTGAATTTCCTCTCCAGCTTACATTTTTATTAAATGTTTCGCTTGAGAACAATTCGCTGAAATAGTTTTCCATTTTCCACTTTCAGCACGAACAGCAGGAAAGTGATGCTCTTACTGCTCTTCCAGCTGTTGGCCCTGCTGCCCCACTGCCCGAAGGCAAATGTCCTAACTAAGTAGCCGATGTTGTGGGCTTTAAATAACTTCCACTTTAATGCAAAGTTCCACCACTCATTGTGGCCAGATGGGAAAACCATGCTCCACTGCATAAATGAGATTCGAACTAAGTTTCAGTTGGATTGTGGGGCATTGGCATGGACATGGACATATATAGGTACATATACACATGTATGTATGTACATGGCATGGTTCCGTATACCGCAATGCAGTTCAAGTAGGTCTATTAACGTCTGCCTGGTTTGTGGCTTAATTGTTCACTAGTTTCACTTATCAGCACTCGTTTCTCATTGGCTCTCGACTGAGTGGAGTCGCTGCCTTGCCCGCCCAAACTATAAATTGCTCAAAACAAATTCCTAACAATGAGGTTGGCCACATAAGCGCTCTATGCTCATTCGACTAACTAAGCTGTAAGTAACTGTAAGTACTCATTACAGTGCAATCTGATGCTAGAATATCTGCATGATTAATCTCAGCAGTAATAAAAGTACCAGCGTTTTGAACTACAAAGTGATTTATTTTAGAGGTAAAGATGGGATTACTTTACAGAGCCACGTTACAGGTTACAGTTGCTATCAACCCATCTGCCCTTACAGGGTATCAGCAGTTCGAGCCCTTGAGTAAACCCGATTCGTTTCCCCTTTATTTCCTCGTTAGACTCGCCATTGTTTTTCACTTGCTGCCTGCATATCTATGTAATTAAAAACTATTTGCACACAAAAGTTTATAAAAAAAGGGCAACCAACAACTAAAACAATTACAACAACAAGAAAAAAAATACATTCAAACGGCAACAATTGAGAGCAACAACAATTGTTGTTGTTGTGCGGTAATTAGTGTAACTGGTCACCTAACCACATAAACTGATTTTGGTTTTTAGGGTTTCTGCTCCTGCGCCTGCTGCTGCCCCTCGTCACTCATTTTGGGCAAATAGTAATTGAAATCATTTAAAGGTCCCTGAAATATTACTTTGTTAATGCCATTGTGTGCTGTCGCAATGTTGGAGCAATAAATTTCAAATTTCTACTCTAATGGCTGAGCAATGATTGGTGGAAACTTTTTGGGTCGAGTTAGCTCTCCCCAATCCAATCCAATCCAATCCCTTACCCACCCTCCAGCAACAATAACATAATAATTCAAATTGGGGGACTTCTGGGCTGCCATAGCAGTGGCATGGGGCAACTTTATCGCTGTGTCGCTGTCCTGGTGGGTACTGTCAGGGAATTTCGCGTGAATTTCGAATTCATTCGAGTGCAAAGTTGAAAAAGGCCAAACCCATTCTGGGCTTCGTGGGAAGAGGGCCTCGTGTCTAATCGGACTGGTGGCATGAGAGATGATACATGGATTATATCGTTTGGAAACTGTAGGAATTAAAACCAAATGTTGCGGCGCTTAACATTTCACTGGGATTATGCCATGCTGCAGAATATATGTAGTACGATTTTTGTTTCAATTTGATTAGAGATTACGCCTACGACTAAACCTTAAATAAATATTCCAAAGAAGTATCCAAAAATGTTGAATTTATTTAATTTACATTTTGCAGAATATATAATTTAATGTGAACGTTTTTTATGGCAATTTTTTGTTTCGTAAAGAAGTTGAATAAAATATGGAATATAAGGTTTTAATTATAGACAAGTTATATTGAAAGTTTAATTATATTGAAAATGATCCACTAAATGTACGGGTATCCCAAGATTTATCTGTTATCGTGCCATACACATATATTTTCTATAAATATCCCTGCCCTTAGCACAACATATCCTTGTCGAAGCCAACCATCCATGCCTAGGCAAGCAGAGCTAATAGAATTTACGATCTTTGCTTTGTGCCATCCTCCACAGCTCCCCAACTCCCCAGCTTTGCTTCTGCCTCCAATATGGAGGTAACACCCAATTACAGCTGTTTAACATTGCTTTTGGGATTGGTTAACCCGATTAACTCGAGCAGGCCTGGCTGGCTGGCTGCCTGGCTGGCAGTCCCCGAACCCCATTAGGTTTGCTCAAACATAAAGTTTCAGGGAAATGACCAGGCAGTGGCAGTGCCAGTGTCAGTGGAAGGGAGGAGTATTCGGGTGATGTGGGAGCTGTGTTGGCCTAATTAAGCGCCATTCCGGACAGGCTAACAGGCCAGTTACACACACTCACATGCAGATTAATTTAATTTGTTTGCGCGATTTCTTTTATTATTAATTACAAGCGGTACAAACATAAATTTCACTTCTGTCCTTGCTTTTGGCAACTTTTCGTTATTTATGCGACCTCTGATAAACAAAACAAAACAATAAAAAATAAAAACAAAACAGAGCTCCCCAAAGAACCAACTGAATAAACAGAGATTCTAAAACAAATATAGCAGGGGGCACATGTGCCAGAAGCCTTTTGAGGTTAGGCTTTGATAGATTGAGGTTATGCTGGATGCCACGCGGTTCAAATGGGGGAACATTTGTCAGCTTTGAGGAGATTACTCGTTCAGAAATGTACGTGGGACTTTGGGTGTTGTAAAAGGGTTACAAGATTCAATGATTTAATCATCATAATCATAATCAGGCTCAGCTGCAGCCTCTTAATCACTTGGCGCATCAGATCCCAGATCCAATGGGTCCGTTTCAGGCGGAAGGCTAGCCAGATCTGATCCAAGATCCAAGGGGTCCGTTTCAGGCGGAAGGCTAGTTAGATGGGATCCAAGATCCAATGGATCGGTTTCAGGTGCTTGGATAGGCAGATTGGATCCCAGATCCAATGAGCTCATTTCCTTCAGTAAATCCGCGTTATCTGGCAGATTCTGATGATGCAGGAAGGTGGGCAGGCTGTTTATGGCACGGCCGAATCGCATGGATATCATTCCCGGAGGCTGATCCTCCAGGAACGGAATATGAGCTTTCTTGAGCACTTCAACCTCCAGCCAAGGCTTGGCTGCCAGCTGCTCTTTTCGACTCCAGCTGTTGTACTCCAGCCGCATCTTCGGCGACTGGAGAAGCTTGATCTGCAGGGGGCCCAGAATGGGCTGAGTGCGCCGCTTGGCGAGGGCCTGCGCGAGGATATTCGTCATGTGGGCGAACTTGCAGTTGAAGAACTCAATCTGCTGCAGCATGGGATCGCTCTCCAGGAGCAGGCTGACCTTGTTGAGCGTGCAGGAGCGAATCCTCAGGCGCCGGCAGCTGAAGGGCAGTGGCAGCGGCAGATTGCTGTCCTCCACGAGCTCGCAGTGGCTCAGACGCACCTCGGTGAGTGCCGTGCAGCGGGCCAGCAGGAGCACGGAGAGGTTCAGCGGAGCGCCAAGGTAGGTGCCGTCCAGGCAAATGCCCTCCAGTTCGTACCGCTTGGCCTGGATGATCTGCTGGACAGTGAGCAGCCAGTCCTCGTCCTGCCAGGGATCCTTGCTCTGCAGCGAGAGCTTCTTCAGATTGCCGAGCTGGCAAATGGCCAGCGGGCTCTTCAGCAGCAGAGGCAGCATCAGTGCCTCCAAGAACGAGCACTGACCGATGCTCCGCATGTCCAGGGTGTTTGGCGGACGGCTCTCATCCCTCAGTTCCAAATGGCGCAGCATGGGGCAGTTGCAAAAGAGCTCCTCCAGAGTGGCCTGTGCCACAGTGCAGTTCAGCTGTATGACGCGCACCTTCTTCAGCACGGGAAAGTGGCCGTCGATTCTGCAGAACACCTTCAACATCTCCACGCCGGGCGTCAGCGACCCAAGCAGCTCCAGCTGACTGCCGCCCGATACTGAACTCCCATTCACGCCTGCCAGCACTATACAAGCCCGGACCCTGGTCAGCTCCGGCACCTCCATGCGCTGGCACACGTCATGTAGCTTGGGGATCTCGGCCATTTGCAGCCGCAGGCACCGCAGGCGCAACGCCAACACGTGCAGAATGTTGCGCAGCTTCTCGTCCCCCATGCTGCTTCCGACCAGCAGGGGCACAATGTTAACCTCCTCCATGGCTACCACCACTTTGTCACAGATGTTGCTCCGATTGGGCCCGTTGATCAGATAGTGGCGCAGACGTTTATTGGCATCATCGGGAGGTCGAAGCTGTTTGTGGACGGCTTGGCTTCTGGTTTTCATGCTTATGAAGTATTCTTGTGAAGAGATCGTGCGTCAGGAGGATTGGATCAGGGAGGGGTTACTTGAGAGTTCACTCACTTCCTACGCGCTTGAAAGCGTTCCAAATGGCAGCCGAGAAGGAAATCGTAAGTGAAATTGCAAAAATACCAATGCAGTAAAAAAAACAACAAAGCGTTTCCCTTCCGCTTTCCAGGGCTGCCATAATGTTAGTTAATCAACACGCAAATACGAAAATAAATGGATCAAATCAAATTTCGTTGTGTGGATTTGAATCTTGGTTAATAATATTTTGATTGGCTGGAAGAATTAATTCTGTTCCTACTTTTTGTGTACAAATTGCTTTTGTTCAGAGTTTGACTTGAAAACGAACTGGCGGAATAAAGTATCGATAGGCATGCGATATACCAAGTCGATAGGGCTTTAATGCAATCAACAAAAGAGACTTTGCCACCATATGCTGGCATATGTAAGTAAAATAATATAAAATTATAGTATGAAATTAACAATAACTAACTGACTAACTGCAAGAACAGAGATAGCCTAAGGATGCAGCGAGAGCGAGGGAAATATATGCGTCAGCCTGGCTTTAAGACATTAGACTTTGCTAACTGTAGTCTGTAGTCAGAGCGAAAGTCATTTCTTCTCAAGTCATGCCTCAGTTCTTCGACTGAAATCCAGTAGTAATCCAGTAATAGCTTTAGTTAAATCTGTGGGACACTAAAGGAGATATGTACAGCTACAGTTTTGACAGCTGATTATCCTGTGATTGTTCTGTGAGCGACGTCCTAGTTCCATTTGTTCAGATTCGAATCAAACGAGTGTGTTATTTATTATAAAGTTTAAATGCTACTCAATTGTGGCCCCAAGGCCAGTGTCCGTTGGAGATAAAATGTGATTTTCATACCCAATTTCTTTTGTACAAGTTTCGACCGAATAATAAAAAAAGAAAAGAGAAAAAAGAAAGAAAAAAAGGAAGCTTCCATGGCTTGACTTTTTACGCTCCCCTGACCTAATGTCATTTTAATTTCTCTTCATGTAGGAGTATTCACGCCCGAGGCGCCACCAGATAACCCCATCCCGGGTCAAAAGTGTCACTGGCATTGTGGGTAGTCGTCTGACAGTTGAAAAATGAAATGCCAGACCCGGCCGGCCATGATGTGTGGCCACAAGAAGTGACTTCATGTGGTGTTTCCTGGCTCCTGGCTCCTTCTTTGGGGAATGCGGGCTTTACACAATTTATGTGTGTATGTTCCGAAATTAAGAGGGGGTGGAGTGGGTGTGGAAAAGGATCCTGGCCAGGAGCATTCGACTAGCGGCCCATATGCTTGTCGCATGCTTAAGCGCATTAATTAGAGGGCATAACTTGTCATTTATTGGTTCATAACATTCAGCAAATATTGGCAAACGCACGCACAGCGCGCCTCCTTGCCAACTGTACAAATGTACATGCCACATGCCACATGCGACATGCGACACCCCCCCTTGGGTGAACACATGCAAAATCGAACAGTTCAAATGGTTGTCACACACCCCAGAGCCGCACAGGGGCGTAGAGCCGACAGGGTTGGCTCTGGCCAATGATGCTCAGTCATAGTCATGGGTTCCGGGGCTACGTTCAAACATTTCTCATTGTTGCGACGGAAATTCAGGAGCCGCAGAGCCATTTGCATGGCTCCAGTCCCCAAAGACACGCTGCCCTCCCCGCCCAGCCTCGGCACACACGCCCGGAGGCTGTTTGGCAGAGAAAAGCCGAAGAAGAAAAAAGCAAAAATGGAATCATAAATTCCTGCTTCGCTCCCCTGCCACAGTCCCATTCCGTAAGCGACGACCCACATCAGCACCCGTCGCCCCATTTTATCAATGGCTGCACGTTTTTGTTGCGGTTACCCTTTGAATTGCGGGGCAGCTTGGATTCAACTTTCATTGTGGTTGCTTCAATGCTGATGTCGATGCTGCGATGATAGATCTATGATGGATGATGCTCCCCAGGCGGTAGTTAAGATGTGTACGTGTGATTAGGCAACAAATCCATTGAAATTCGATATTCATCCGTAATGCAACAAAAGTTTTCAGTTCTGTCAGAGAACACTATTCTATTAAAAGGAAAATCTTGTTTGAAATTGTTCCACAGTTGACTACAGACCCTAGCAAAAAGACCCAGTTGACCGCACATTTCTTAGGTTATTCTTACGTTCGATTCCCCATTCTTCAGAGCATTCATTGGTCGCCTATCGATCCCCTATAGGCTTCCTTGCCGTTCTTTATTTCTTTGTTGTTTTTCGTGTTATTTTGAGGCAAATGGCGACGCGTCGTGGTGTCGCTCACTTGGACGGCTTTGACGACGACTTCTCCGAGTCGACTTTTTGTGGCATACACTCCTCTCAGAACATCAGAGAGCGACACGACACACGACGCACAACACACAACACGCCACACAGCAATTACACGGCATAAGTGCGGGGCGCGTGTGGGCGTGGCAGATTGGGGACGATGAACGAGAGACGGACGGCGCCCATTTAGCACTCGACTGGCTTCGATTGCTTTAAAGCGTTTATGCCCCAGACTCTACCTCTCGAGTTGCCTTTTCGCAGCCCTTGGGTTTTCTTTTCTGCTGATTGACAATTGTTGTCTTTTCTCTCGTATTGATGTTGTCGCTGTTTTTGGCCATCGTTTACACACATGACTAAACAAATACACAACAATCCACCCGAGAAGTCGATGCGGCTTGGCTTAATATCGATGGCTCCTGCTGCTCATTACACATCCCCGTGTGTGTCCGCGTCCATTAAAGGCCTAAGTTAGGGCGACCAGCCCTATTTATTTACTGAATTTATGGTGTATGTACTTGATCAACATATGGAGAGAGTGTGGCATCCATAACAGGACAGGTTGAGAGACCATTGATATTGAATCAATCCGTAATCAGGGCAGGTCTCGGAACTCTACACGAAATTTGTGTTTGAATTATGCACTACATATTTTATGGGACACCTTCAAGAGTACATATTATACGAATAATTTATTTCATAACTGGTGTCTGATACTATGAAGTACGTTTGAGGGTTTATCGTAAATTCGAGACTAAAATTACGGCAATAAAAGCAGAATAATAAAACTATGTACTTGATAGCGGTTATTTGTCCTGCAACGGGATTTCATTTACATTTAGGCCTAGAATTTCTTCTTTATTCCTTGGTAAACAATAATATTAATCAGATCAAATGAAAGAATTAAAGAGGATTTGAGCGTTGTAATTTGTATTTATTATAGAATTGGAAGAGCGGCATCTGCAAAGATCTTCTGATGAGAACTGTTGCTTCGGAGTATAGTTGCAGGAATGCGAAACAAACCGAATTTAATTAATTGAATTTACTAGCTATCAATTCATTGGGGCTAGTATCCTCTGACACTCCACGAAATGTATTCAAAGGGAATACAAAGTGCGCGAATTATTTGGTGATTCCTGTCCGGGGAGCGGCGGCGTGCAAATTTATGGCCTCTCAACGAATACGGCTAATGGCTGTATTAGCGACGCCAAAGAGTTGGCTCCACTTAGCGCAGTTATTTAATTAAAGCTTTGGCGCCCAGTGCCTTTGGGCTACTCCCACCCGTACGTACCCCTCCCCATGCCACATTTCTTGTGTGTCTTCAGGCCATAAATAAATTAAACGTGACATTTGACCGCCATTTGTCTTGGGAGCCCGAGCCCGAGCCCGATGCCCTCGTGCTATGGTAAATACTTGTATCTCTTATATAATATAGTTGGAGTGTCCTCTTCTCTTTCCCAGATTCCTGCATCTGTATGCTTTTGTATGCGGCTCGTTGTCCTAACATAATTAACAGAGTTGCCGTGCAGATGGACATGGGCGTGGCCCTGGCTGCCAGCCCCGTGCTGCGACCTTGGCCATAGCTCTGATTGATGGCTTAAGTGTTATTTGAGTGTCTGCTGATTTTTTTTCCTTTTCCCAAATTATCTTCGAGTCTGTTTTTGCTGGTCCCCGATTTAATTATATCACATACTCGCATGAGCGTGGCAATGGCATAGAAACTGGGGGGATGTATTGTTAATGACATTGCTGTGGCCAGTGCACTAGTTCAACTGAGATTGATTAGAGTCTGAAGAAGCAGCAGTAAGAGCAAGGAGATTACCAGCCATACAAGATGATAAATACTCGTATTATTTCCCAGTTATTCAGTCCGAAAATGACTTAAGGCAGGGTTTTCTCTGCAAATATTTGCTCATAACTGTTGTCGAAACTCAGATAAATAATAATAATAAATATGTGAGAGTGTTACCCAGCATGAATCACGCAAGTGAATGTTTAAAGAGGCCATGAAAGTGACATACATTGAAGGACATTGATCTTTTCGGCATTGAAATGGGATTGACCCAAAAGTATCAATTAAAGAACTTCATTTAACCAATAAAGGATTGCTGGGAAAGAGCCACTCGGATTGATTGTAACTTCCCAAAACGAGGAACAATCACGTTACGCATACGACCTGTTGAACAGACACCCACCACTCACGGCGAGCACACGCATGTACAACCTGACGCAGAAAATTTAATCAACTCGAGATTGAGGTTCAGGGGCTGGAGGCTGTAGGCTGGAAGGGGATCTGAGGGTGGTACTTGTTATGAGCTTGAGGCTGGTACTGCATCTGATGCTGGGGCATAGGCACTTTCACTCTTTCTGAGACTGAGACTGAGGCTGAGGCTGTTGCCCGGGCTACGTTCCAATTAGTCGAGCCTGTGCAAAATATGCCAGGCATTTTCATAAACTACTCGAAAGCCCCAAAAACGAAAGCAAATACCACACCGAGCGCCAGCTAAAGTCAAGTCAAGTTGGGGACTTGACACGATGCGTATGCGTAATGAGTTTCTGTCACACCCCCCGAAAAGTAAGCATTTCCCTGTGGCAGGTGTCTAACAATCGGCGTATGTGTGTGTGTGTGTGTGTGTGCTTGTGCCTCAGTCTCATGGCGTGTGTGTGGCATTTGGCTAAATGAAAATTCGCACTGTACGATTAAATTAACTCGACAAGCTTATAAAAATCGTGCCAACGAGTTGCCAACGACAACAGCAACCAGAACGAAAACGACAATGCAGCCAGGCAAATCTCATCATGTAAATTAAATTTGGCAAACGCTTCTCGACACTTGCACAAAAATGTGCGAAATTGAATTAACTATGCATGCAAAAACAAAAGCCGAGCCCCGAGCAGATCAGACCAGGGCAGCGGGCAGAGTGGAGCGGTGTGGAGTGGAGTGGAGCGTAACACGTAACCAAAAAGTTGGACAGGGGTGCACTGAGAAGCAGGGCATATGCTAAAACACAAGGTCGGTCTCTGGGGGTGTTCTGTGCTGTGGATTCGCCTGTGAGGGGATCAAGGGATTGCCCGGGAAATTGTTATGCGGTTGAAAGAGTTACTACGGGAAGTGGTTTGGCTAGCGCTTTGACTAACTGCAATTGGGATTTGTCAAAGGGCTAACATATTTATGTAAAAAGTTGTGTGCAAAGCGATTCGGGATTATTCCACTTAAAGTCTCGAGGCTGATTAAGCAACTAAAAAAAACTTTCCATACATATTATATATTTATATAAACATATCCTTATGATAGTAATACTTCTACGAGCTACCAGAATCTTAAGACTATTTTATCATTGTAAATTCACATAAATATAGAATAACTTAATGCACATCTAAACAGAATTTATAGGCTTATTTGTGATTATTAGTAAAGTAAAAGGGTAAAATATTAATTGAAAATGTCCCGCTTAAATCGAACCCACTGATCCCTTGTTAATGTTTATGTAAATCAAAGAAAAGTATCGCTAATTGGATACAATACAATACGTGCTTTAGCTTAAGCTTAACGTCAATGTTGATACGTCTGAAGACAATCAAGGTTCGCGTTTTATAATCCCCAAACACAAATATGTACGAGTATAACAAATATTTGGCATTTTCAGCCAAAACTTTGGTGAATTTGGGGAGAAATTTACGCGGAGAAATCTCGGGGGGAGGCATATCAGACCCAAGCCGAGACTAAGACAAAGTAAAAGAAGTTTACACTTACGCGCACGCATGCCACGAAAGCTGACAGCTGCCAGAAATGCCAGCAGTATGCCGGCTAACCCGGGGACTCCGACTAGGGAGCAGACACCTCTGCCCAATGCTCCTCCTCCTAGTCCCGTCCTGCCTTGGCGCGCACTCCGACAGGGCATTTTATTGGGTGCGCGGCGACGAAGGATTTCTGTCGGATGTCGCACCTTGACGGGGCTCCTCCTGCTGCTGCTCCTCCGTGCGGGGATTGGGTACGGTGTTTGGTACGGTGTTTGGTTCGGGGTTTGGTTTTTGGTTTTGGGTTTTATTGTGTTATTTTTCGGTGTTATATTTATTTCTCTGGGAGCTAGTTAATCCAAGCTTCGCCAGCTCAAGTAGCATGTCATTTGGCACGGTTCCGTGGCCCGTGCTGCCGCTGTTTGTTTCGTGTTCTGGTTCCTGTTCTATGTGCCCTGTGCTCTGTGTTCTCTCTGTGCTCTCTTCTCCGTTCTGTTATTTAATTATTTGCATTGCTTTTATGAAGTCTTCTTGGTTGGATTTGCATACCGCACTTGATGCCGTTACCCCAATGGTGGGACAAGGTCTGTACGTGACTACTGATTCCACTTTTTTTTGTTGTTGATATTTCTTTGGAGTACATAGAACCGCAGGCCGAAAACGTATGTTTTAGCTTATTTCGTGCTTTATTTGGCAAAGCCAACCGCAGCAGCCAGGCGAGAGAAAGGCAAAAATAACATATAACTTTCCCAGTGGGTCCGAGCAAATACAGCAGCAGCCACCAGGAGGCGACCAGGAGCCCAGGAGCCAACCACAACCACAGAGGAGGGCCTCGAGCATCGAGCGTCGAGCTCCGATTTGGCCTCCGGGCTGCTGCTGTTAGCATTCTATTTATGTGATAAATGGATATTTATCTTGCTCTGCCTCTGGCCATAAGTTTTTAGATGCCTTGATTATAAGTCAATAAATTAATGAATTGCATTGGCTCTCCATCCCTCTGCACCAGAGCAGCCTCCGCCTCCCTCCATTAGCTGTACTTTCTCTACTGCTCCCGTTCGTTTTTCTGCTTTCGCAGGCGAATCCTTGCTGAGTTTGGCCAATTTTTAATGGCTGCCGAATCGGGGTTTTTTTTTTTGTTTGCTTCCTGTCTGAACAGCTGTGTCGACTTCCCCAACTAATGCCCAGATGCAGGATTCATACGGCTCAGAGCCGGCAAATCGAAGTCGAGTCCCCAAAACCGACAGCCAAATGCATTATTGCACTCTCTAATCTGGTTGGATTAGATGGGGTCATGATGTGGCTCTGCCTTACTCTGCTCTGGCTCTGTGGATGAGTGTGTAATTGGGTGAGCTAACAAACAAATTGATATTTATTTCCAAGAAAATTTCCCACTATGCGGCACTGACTGAGGAAAAGAACTGGGGTTTCCCAGGAAGTTAGGCGCTGCCCTGCCGAAATGAAATACTAATCTAATTTCTAGCTAATTTATCCATCAATATTAATGAAAATGCGAAGACGATAAATTATTTTTTCATGGGAATTCCATTTAACTTGAAGAAGATTGACCTTCGCTTATCTCAATGACCAAATATTTCCCAACAAACGAGCCTTAGATTGATGGTCTGTGATCATATACCCGTACCAGTGTGTACATGGTATGAGTATTCCTGAGAAATCTCCCTTGGATAGTAGCCATTGAAAGCTATGGTTCCAGTGTTGTGCGAAAAAGAAAACATTTTTCTTTGAATTCTGTCTGCATGTGGAACTGACTTTTGGCTAACTAAAAATAGTAGCTAGTTATTTTCCTGTTATTCCAAAAGTCTGTATTTCCAACATGAACAATTATTTTTAGTGTACTTCCATCTGTTTTTGTGTGCCATCTAAATTCCTTAATTATCTTTTATGGGCTCTAACGTGAAACTCTTCAGCTGTGTAAATGTAATCTCATTTCTAGAAAAAAGACACAAATTTGTCCTCTCAGCTATTGCAAATGCCTTTTCCACCTCCCACTGACACCGCCAGTTCCAAGTTCCCTTCAGTTCTCTCCTTTCGAATTTCCGTCAATTAATCAACGATTTATTTCGGTTTCATCAGGAGATTTAATATGTTTTTTCGTCATTTGCTTTGCGTTGTCAACCATCAAATCCTTTCTCTTTTGTATTTATTTTATACTTCTTTTCTTCTCTGCTTTTTGAACTGCTATCAAATATCTCCCCCCAGTTGCAGCACCTGTTTCAACACCTTTATTGATTTGCCAGTATCATTGTCAGCTTCTCTTTTCCCTCTTCCTCCCCCTCTGACCCAGAGTTTTTCTCGCCTATCTAATGACACCTTCCACGAAGGACGAAGACGTGGAAAATTGGCATCTTTGCACATTAATGAGTTTTAAAATCTATTGCAGGGCACGCCCCGTAAACAACAAGGGAAGGGCCAGGGGCCAGACATATCCGTTAGGTGGAGCGGAGCTCAGTCTCAAGTGTCTCTAAGCCACCTCTGCCTCTGCCTCTAATCAGATTATATTTCCATATATTACATCATATGCTCATCAATATAATCAAATTGAAATACATGTGGGCTAAACAATGGCCGCCTACGTGGAGCGGAGCACGTGCCCCCTGTTTGGAATGGGGTTACCCTTAGCCTAGCACTCGCACTCGCACTCGCATAGGAGTCACATCTTTCACTTCCTTCGCATCAGTCAAATCCTCCACGTTTCCTTTTTATTTTATTCTACGTATATATATAATTTTTTTTTGGTTTATTTTCTCTTTTGTGGATAGACGACGGCGCAATCAGCGTTTGACGGCGTTTGACTTTCGATCTGGCCTGGCTTTCTCTGCTTGGCGTCTGCCTTGCTTGGCTTTTGTATCCGTTCTAATGCGCAGCAATTTAAAATGTGATTTTCCTTGATTTATAAAAGACACATTGCACTCACAATCACGGCTCACATCTGGCAGACTGTTGTCCTCATACCATCCCAGCCCATCCCACCACTGATGGATGATGGAGCAGGCGAAGATGCCGCCACCACATATATACCTCACTTCACTTCACTTCACATCACTTCTCTTCACTTAATGCTGCAACTTGAATGGGCGTGTCCACGCCCTCATCCTATTTGGCACACATTCCGCAAAACCCGCGTAAACAAAAGGCCCACGAACGCGCGTGCTGATGAATCTCCGAAGTGCATTTAACATCCGCAAACTCTGCCCAACACCGTTTCAGACTTTTGCCTTAGCGCGCTCTCGCCTGTCTTTGGCTTGACTCTGACGTTGATTCTGGCTTCTATGGGCCTTTCCGAGCGATTCGATTTTCCCGCTTGACGTCCGACGCACAGCCATGCAAATTCCAAATGAATCGCGCCCAAAGGAAATGGAAACAAACACCACTCGGCACGGACACAGATGCCAATGCTGCCAATTTGAAGTTCGTATCGTGTCGTGTGGTGTTCCATATCGCAGCATCCTGTCGGGTTCTATTTTCCACGTTCCATAGCTTTCTCCTTTGGTTTCAGTATCACTTTACCCCTGTGTTCCATGTGCAGTTCCTTTGAATCGTTTGCCATGCTCTACCCCTGCGCCTCGTCGTGTTCCATTTCATTTCATTTGAGTTCATTTCATTTCGTTGCCATGTGTTTCCCTGTTAGGGGTAGAATATCCTGGCAGCGCATGACTATTCCCAGTGCGCTGTTAAAGGACTCTGTTAACCGTTTCGGCTGAAAAGGCCGTTAAAACCATTATTCAGCGTATGGACACCCTGAAGGCAAACAAGAGGATTGAGAGTTCGAAGGAAGCTGAAGAGAAAATTTAGATTGGAGTACAATAAACAATAACAATAAATAATTATTTGTTTGCTTTATATTTATCTAAATTTTGCAGGAGTCTTTCAAGAGAATAATTATTCAGGGTCGGGGTATTTTTGGACACTTTTTAAATGAAGTAAAAATAATAATCTTTGCTACGAAGGGTTTATTTATATTTCTGAATAGCAAAATAGTTGTTAATCATTAAGAAGAAAATTACAAAATATCGAAAATCAAACTGATATGCAATCTGATATTCGCAGTGGCTAATTTCTCAACATTTTGCATAAACAATAATAAAACCGAGTGGCTCACAATCACCCGAACCCCTATTTTTACAAAATGTCCGCAAATAAACTGCGCCATGTAACTTTATGCAAAATTTCTTTTTTATTTCGTCATGATGTCACACGAATATTGTAAAAATACTAACCAGCGTGGATTCACAGCAATGTATCACAATAAAACACCACACACGAAGTGATAATGATACTTAGAAAACACCGAATTTTTATTTGTTAGCAGTGGAAAATAGCGATGCGTGTGCGGGCCCACACTTATAGTGGAAATACTAGCTTTCCATGAGATATGGTAACATGACATGACACAGTTGTTGGCAGTTTTTATTATTCACTAGGAAACAAAAAATAGAGCTGGCTCACGAATCCCCGTGGCCCAAAATACCCCGACCTCCCCTACATAAAAACATAATAACAATTAATTATTTAAATATACACACATATTTACATGTAGACTTGTATTGTTTATTCAATAAACTTTATTCATTATGACAATTTTTCTGAAACGGCGGGTCAGATCTATTGGCTCAAATAGCTGCTATGGTCCCACTCACTGCCACACACAGGGTCAGAGAAATGCCGAACAATTAAGGATTATCGTAAGTTAAACTAAATTAGTCATTAAAGTAGAATTTACCTTGATAGCACAAGTGTCTAAGGAAAACAAATGGAAAAATGTATTTTAATTACAGCAAAGGCCACGGAAAGATTTAAGGTCAGAGTAAGACAGAGTTAAAAATGAAGAGGAAGGTAATGCCCACTCGGGCGGGACGCAATACTAATAAGACTTTCAAGAGATTGAATGTCTATGAAACGCAGCCTACATTCATAAGAAGGAAGATGTCTAGAAGGCGCTCAATAGAACAGACTATTCTCTAGTCTTGAAATTTCTGGTAGTAAGGAGACAAGACGCAGTAGCCAAATTCTAAGACTGGCCGAACAAGAGCGACATAAAGTAATTTGGTGGTATTAGGGTCTGTCAATTCCTTTGGCCATCTTTTTATAGACCCAAGACACGGGATCACTATAGGAAATAAATTGCTTGAAATCATCAGCATACATCAGGACTAGGGAATGAGTTAAAGCTTAGGGAAGATCATTAGTAAAAAATAAAATAACAAGGACGAGGATAGTTAGCCATGAGTTACCCCATATGAGACAAAAACAGATTATAGTATTTGCAAAGGTTGTTACTCGTATATGAATCTGCCATAGGTAACAGATCGATCTAAGCATTCATTAAAGTCAGAATGGATTTCTTTTCGGCAATATAATAATTAAAAGAAAAGTTTATTTAAATATTTGATTGTATCAAAAGCCAATTGAACAAGTAACAAAATTATGTCTAGTGGCTTTCCTCTGATTCTTTTCTATTTTCTGTGTGTGTGTTGAGGTTGAAAAAGGAAATATTTACATATTTCTGTGAAAGTGAAAAATGTCGTAAATAAATGTGGTAAAATTCAAATCAAAATAAAATCCGAGAATCA